TGTGATAGCTCATTGCAAACCTTAATTTACACATCAGAGCATACCTGGTGAGTGTATAATACATAATAGGCCACAGTTCACAAGTGAGCAGTTTAAAAATAAATAATACTCACATTTGATATCACACCTTATCAAGTCAAAATGTTTCAAAGTGTTTCGCACAGTGAGTTACTTTTTTTTAAATGTTGTGATTGTTATTGTACAGGTAAATTAAGAAGCTAATCTATGGTGGTTGGTCCCACAAACAGAAATGAATGATTAATCTCTTTTTTGATGAAATTGGATTAGGAAGGAAAATTGGTCACAATTTCAGAAATATCAGAGGGACTTCAATACAGATTAAGATCAAGACAGAATAAGGCCTATTTGTACCTGTGTTCTACCAGCTCTTCACTTTAAATTTTCATTGATCGAATGTTTATCTAATTTCCTTTCAAGGGTGATGCACATGGCTTGAATTGCCACTTTGGTAACGCATACTACATTCCTAATAACTCTTTGCATAAAATCAATTCTTCTCGCCTCTGCCATTATGCTTTTATGTGTTGATGCCCTTTTTTTCAGATTCACCAAATAGTGCTAATAATCCTTCATTATTTACCCTCTCAAACCTTTTCATAATTCTGAACACTTCTATTGCATCTCCTCTTAACATGATAAATAATAAGAATAATCCTTGCATTTGATATGGCTCTTTTCATGTCTTCTCGACGTCTCAAAGTGCTTCACAGAATATGCTGTAAGGTGAATTGACCGTATATTTGTGGGCAAAACGTGGCAGCCAATTGCGCACAGCAGTGTCCCACAAACAGTCGTGAATTGAAAATGACCAATTTATTATTGTCTTGTTTTTTGGAGGGATTATTATTAGGCGTAGATAAATAACGGTCTTCTTTGAAATGGTGGCAGGAGATCTTTAACGTCAACCAGAAGAGGTAGAGTTCACTTCAAAATCTCATCTAAAGGGCAGCACCTTAGTCACTCCCCTAGTTCTGCTCTGTTGTGTTGGCCTAGATTATGAACTCACATCCGGTGTGAAGCTTGAGAGACAAGAGTACTGTTAATTTATTCAAATCAGCACTTAATGTTTGGCATAGCCGTACCAGGTATAATCCCCATTTTCCACAGTTTAATGCTCTAGCTGTCAAAACAACAACAACTTGCATTTATACAGCACCCTTCACTTGGGGTACAGTCTCGGAAAGCTTAACAACACTGTGTTAAGTTTAACTCCGAGCTGGGGGGAAAAGGGAGGTGACTGTAGCTTGGTCAAACAGGAAAGTCTTGAGGAGCGAATCTATACCAAGAGCAAAATGCCTTCTTAAAAAATTCATAGCGGCTGGTAGAAATCTGTATTTGGTCCCTTTGGATCATTATAATAAAAATCAAGATAGCTTCTTAGGATTTCCAATGTGAACGTTAATGGATATGAACAAACAATAGTACCTTCCAAGAGATTATTGGAGTCGAATACACTAGGCGCCCACAAGTAGCATAGTGTTTGAAGTATTAGAGAAATCAGTGCAAGAAATGGTCTGATAAATAAACTAGAACATTAACCTCTGTGAAACTAGGAAACAAGGATGGCAACAAGCAGTTGTGATATAAATACCAGAGGCGCCTAGATTTTATTTAATGACTGCTCCTGACAGACAGACAGACAGACAGACAGACAGACAGACAGACAGACAGACAGACAGACAGACAGACAGACAGACAGACAGACAGACAGACAGACAGACAGACAGACAGACAGACAGACAGACAGACAGACAGACAGACAGACAGACAGAAGAAACAGACGTCATTTCAATGGATCTAAGGTAGAAACTGATTTGGTTGCCAGCAACAGCCTTGCTGACTTGTGGTAATGAACCTGAAATGTGCACTCAAGAGACTGTAGGAGCACTAGTACAGAGCAGTAATGAAGTAGTAGAGACAGCAAGGGCAATTTCAAAGAAATAAAGACTCTGTCATGAGTAATATTGATGGTAGTCCTGAACGTAAATCTACAGATGAAATGATAATTAGAACCACAACAATTGATTGTTAAACCTGCTAAATAAAGAGATATTTAGACTACAGATTTATACAAAGAAAGAATGAACTTCTTATCTGTGTGAAGTACTCAAGCTATCCACCTTGATCTAATAATTAGGTGAGTTGAAGGGTTAGCTCATTCGTTATCTAAAATAAGTTTACATCATTTATTTTGCATCAAACATTGAATAGATCTGCAACAAAACTTTAGGAGAATGAATTTACACCTATACATATTTATGAAAGCTACATATCTTTAGCAATATCACATGCCAGCTTGGAGTCAGCCTAAGCGGGCATTCACTTTCAGTTGATGCCAGTTTGCATCAATTTGATGCAATGTCCACGTTGAATTGGCACTAAACTTGTAGTATAATTAATGGCATCAATTCAATATTGTATCCTGCTCCATAAGCTGGTTTCAGAAACAAACCTGAATTGATGCCACTTAATTATACTACACATTTAGTGTGTAGCTACACTATAACTCCGGTTTTACTGCAGCCAATACAAAGAGAACTTTTAATTGGACTACCCTTGGGCTTTTTAAATGTTATTAGAGAGTTGGCAGGACTCCCAACTCTTTAATAACTTAAAAAAAATTAGTCGTCATTTGGCGCCAGTTAGCGAAGCTCTGCATATGTGTTTAGTTGTGGTGCGCAGAGCTGTCTTTTACTTGGACTTGGTCCTGGGAGAGAAAAAGAAAGAGAGAGAGAGTCAGAGCAGGTGGTATAACTGCAGCTTCCATTCCAAATCACTTCACTATAGGCAAGGTACTGAATCAGTGTCTATCATACACCTGGAGCATGAGATGGACTGAATAAATAAGTGTTAGGCGGCTTTGTAATCAGTCTCCTCATTATTACATTTGCCTATAAAATGGACAGTAACTACACATTACATTAAATCCCGTGAAACACTCTGAGACATCCTCCCAACGTGAAAGCCAATATGTCCAATGCAATGATTAATATTACTATTTACAAACTGGCTTGACATTGAATCACATCTGGAGTATATCTGGAGTATTCACTGTCTGGCTTGCATGTCACTTTTGTGCTTTTAAGCATTTGCTATAATATTAAATAGAAACATGATTTGAATATCTTAGCCACTGACTCTGTTTCTTCCTCCCCCATCCAGCACGTATTATCCATGGTTTATATTGGTACTTTTATATTTGTACTAATATAAACAGGTGACTTCCAACTCACTGCCTAAGCAGGCCAACGCAAAACTAAGTCTAAACAGCCTTTTGTCTTTAACAATTCAATATCAGTTCAATACACATATTTCACATATAGTTACATTTTACCTTTTGGATATTGCTATATTCAGTACCTATAAAATATACTATGTATATCCATATTATGATGTACAATTCATAACATAGGGTAAAATGAAATGGTTGAGACACAATGCTATCTATGATTAGGAGTTATAATTTATGAATGTCGTTGCCCTGTATTCTACACAAAAGGCAGCATTGTATTTGTCAAGAATATCCACCTGACAGCAGCTTTGCATGTCTGGCAGCAACTTTTTGGAAACTGAATATAATATAATAAAAATGGTATTCATAAGATTTTACTAAGCAAATTATACCGACGTACAATTTTCTGATACATTTCAGTTAACATTCTTCACATTAACTTTGTTTGAATTCGCAATTTCATAATGAGGGAATGATAAGGCAGTAGATTACCACATATCATTGCCCAAAAGACATTCGTACTGTGTAATGCACCAGTATTACTTATTCCCTTATAATCGTTCATTAAAAACCCATTTAGTAATGCCACAAATAAATGGTGTTTGCTCAAGAGTAGTCGGTATCAGAAAAAAAAACACAAAACATTCAATCGATTCTCTTTTATTGAAACTAAATTCTCACTATAGTGAAAGTCAAAGGGTTAACATTTGATTGTTTTGACATGTAGTGGAAAATAACTCATCGATTAACAGAAGGGCAGTAAAGTGATTATTCTTTCCATGCACTGAATCAATTGCACTTTTGAGTTTTGAGTTAAAATTGAGTTTAATCCAGACCTTGATGAGAAATTGGCTTAAGCGTGTAAAATTTCTTGTGAGGTATGACTAATTACAGGGTGCACATTCTGGAGCAGCAGAAGCATACTGGAATTAAGTTAACCTGCAGAAATATTCCAGGTCTCAAAAGTTTTTTTTTTACAAATTTGCATTAGGGATAAGGATTGAATCGAGTTGAAATTCAATTCAGTAAAGTCAACATTTTGGGCAAATTCAGCCAAGTGTGTGGGTTTAAAATGGTCCCATGTGTACTTAGAAAATAGGTTGTGTTTGTTTCTTTGGAAATTCAGTGTATTGATGTGTTTGATGGCTGGAATCATTTGTGGTCATGCAACCAATTCCTTCGTGGTCAAATGGTCATCATTCTGGCCTGTTGTTTGGTGGTCTATATGTGTCCAATGTTGCATGCATCCAATTTCCCTAGTATCTAGCAGGCACTATTGCTACTGACACAGCAACAATTTGTTTTCATCTTGTACGTGGATTTCTCAAATGTTGCAGGGTTATGAGTATGATACCTAGCTTAACCTGCATATTAATGCAGAAAGAGTACAATGTTAGTGGAGTCCTGTAGCTCAGTGGTTAGAGCACTCGCTTTGCAATCGAGAGACCCAGTTCAATTCCAGGCAGGGCGAAACCTTGGGCAAGTTTCCTTACTCCACACAGAGCCTAATAATAATCCCTCCAAAACCAAAAACAATAATAAAATTGGTCATTTTCAATCTACGACTGTTTGTGGGACATTGCTGTGCGCAATTGACTGCCGAGTTCACCCACAAATATACAGTCAATTCACTTTACAGTGTGTTCTGTGAAGCGCTTTGGGACATCCTCCCGACGTGAAAAGCACTATACCAAATGCAAGGATTATTATTATTATTATTATAATGTTGGTGCTTCCTTAGTTTCAAGGTCATGACTTGTTCCTTTCTTGTTTCATTAGGCAGAGAGTAATGTTCATCCAGCGAGTACCTGATGTAATGAATTTAAGATCATATTATAAAAAAGGGAAGCACTGGGGAAAACATTTACGTAATTTTTTTTGATAACATTTTTAAAGTTTTATGACATTTAGAAGTGTTATTAATGGTCATAATGTTCTTGTTTATCAAGGTGAAGAATGACTGCTGTAGAATGTAATCCCTTTCCATTTTGACCCTAGGAATAGCATGATGTAGTCTTATAACGTGTACAACATGCACCATGTTGGATTACCTTAAGTTATCTCAACAATGTTGTGTCTAAGCCGAGACCGTAGAAGACCTACACCTCAGTATACCGAGATTTATTTAGATTTTTTGAACTGCTTATCCTTAAAATATTTCTGAATGATACTGTCAGAAAGCACCAGTTGTTCTGCATTTAAGGTCAGCAAAGGCAGTGTATTTTGCTCTGGGACCATGCCTAATTGGAATGGAGAAAGCAGCTCAAAATGATTTCATTTACGATCCTTAGCAGTCATCAGGGAAATGCAGGGGCTTTTGTCCTATCTTTCTCAGTTGAATTTGAGCTGACCAGCCTCAGAGGTAAAATAATAGTGTTCTAATTCACTGCACCACTCAGCCCATTGTATGTGTTTGGTTCTTTAGAATAATAGGACCAACACGAGAAATTAAATGCCTAATTGGGTACAATGCTCCACAGTAGCCTAATTGTCGGATTAAAATCCCAACAATATCTACTGAGGTAAAACTACGAGAGCATGTTATAATCAGAAATATTTTTAACATAAAACTTTAATTGTTTTAAGGGTACCACTTGCCCAATATCCTCCCTTTGCAGCAAAATACTATAATTTGCGTAAGTGAAATAAAGGAAGGCAAAAATAATGACATTTAATATAATATTGTATGTACTTACATCAATAAAGTAGTTCAGTCAGCATAGGAAGAAACAGGGATGCATTTAAAGTTTATGTTAAAATGTCACTAACTGCACAGAGTGACCACGTCTTGTCACAGCTATAAACTTTTAGTTTATGTAATAAATCATTCAGAAGGAATAAGATGTCTGCAATAGCAGTTTTAATAGTAACATAAAAAAGACTTCCATTGACTGTATAACAGCTGTGTCACCTGCGCATGGGTGATCCGTTTTTGACACCTTCCCTCAAGAGTATTGCAAGGATAAACATATTCTGTTCAAACGAGTCCAATGACAGCAAAATTGCCTGCTTGTCTCTAAAAAGACTCTAATAATGTGTACCGAGGGAGAGGCGCCTGTTCTGACAGTAGAGTTTTTTCCCCAGTGGAAGTCTGAGAGGTTCAAATTTTCTAGAAACTTTAATCTTCCACAACATAACCGAAATACAAAATACCACAAATCATTACAGCTTGACGAAAAATATTCAGGAATAAAACATGTAAGAAAGAATATATTCACAGTCAAACAAATCCAGTTGTACGTGCAATGACAGTGCACTGGCAATATATAGACTAAGTTAAAAAACCATAATAAAATTCATATCTAAGGACTGACCCTTTTCCCATACTGTAGCCTCTTAAAAATCTAAATGATTACTTTCTTAAGTTTAAACTGAAGTACATAGTTATAATGCTGACTGAAAAATGATGGCTGCCAAGAAGTGTAGTGTTTATAAAGGCTGCTGTCATCTCTGGAGTGCAATTCAAAATCTGCTGACATCTATATCTGCCTGAGGTTTAAGTAAGCAAAACAGGTGGTGTTTAATATTTTCTTTGATGAGTGTAGAATCAGACTCTGAAAACCATTAAAAAAAATTGACATTTTTGCTAAATTAATCATTTAACAAGAAGCAGAGTAAATTACAAAGGCAAAACTGAAGTTTACTTTGATATGTTTTAGAAACAAAGAATTATTAATGATTAAATTCTCCAATGAGAATTATTTCATATTGCAGCAGGGTCAAGTTAAGATGTACTTTATCAGCAGAGCTACAAGATAATTTCCTTCAATACAATGGAAAACACAACAGTTGAGATCAGTTCTAAGATCAAATTGCACATATAAAGTACACAATTATTTAAGATTACATTTTTCACATAAAACTTGTAATGTCTATTTGAGTGATAAGGCGATGACTTCCAATCAAAGCTCTATCGCTGTACAGATCGCTTGCTTTTCTAATAAGACTTGGGACGTGATTTTATATTTTTGTACAGGTGCCAAATCGCTGATTGCATGTTCAATGCTGCCAAATACAGTTGTGCTCCATCATAAAGTGAATTGATACTTTATGAATCATTATTGCAGCATGTTAAAAAATGTCATGTGGAACATTCAGAATAGGTGATTCAATTTACATTGGTAGCCACACATGCTTTAAAGCTGCTACTTATATTTTGGCACAGGAACATAGAGCAGGATGATAGCTGAAGAGGACAACTTATCTTGATAATAATAAATACCCTCAACAACTGCTTACTATTTAATTGCAATTTATACCATGTGGAGTTAAGGGATCTGAACAACGATTTGCTTTGATTTGACTTGCTGGTTGACAATGGAAATGGCTCAGTAGCTCCATGATTGATCCTCCTTCATTGTGGTTGTATTTATGCCAACAGGTTGATAAGCATGTGTCACCAAATTGATAGAACACTGTTGCAGATGGAACATTAATTCATTTGCCTCTAGTCCTGCTCTCTTCCTAGCTTTGGCACATTAAAATCATTGCCATTAAGTTGATTTTTAAACCGCCACACATCAAGCTTCTAAGTAGCTCTTCTGTAACATTTAACAATTCTGCCCATAACTACATCAACAGTTCAATGATATCACAATAGCTAAATCATGAAATAACAGGAAACGGTGAAAACTAAACTAGACCTCGATGCTTGTGACACTGGGTTACGTTTGAAGTGCTACTGATAAGTGCACAAAGTGCGGCTCCATTCAAGATTGAAATTGGTGAGTTGTTCCTCGGTAAATTGAAAAGGTTTGTGATTAATTTTATATGTTTATTCTCAGTCAATCATTACCGGGTACTTCACCCTTCCTGGTTCTGATCCCGGATTGAAGATCATCCCAAGCAACAAAGGGACTAATACCAAGTCAGACATGATGTAAACACACCTGATGGCTTCTCAGCTGCAGAATCCTTCCTTGGCCTATAGAAGTCTGTAACATTAAATACCCATGCCTTGTTCTCGGCACTTAGTGATGAAATTTACAGAAACAGAATATCAGTAGTTGCACAAAACCTTATATTAATGCTAACTCTTAACATCTTAACTTCGCCCACAAAATATACAGTCAATTCACTTTACAGTATATTCTGTGAAGCACTTTGAGATGTCTCGAAGACCTGATAAGGCCCTATATCAAATGCAAGGTTTATTATTATTATTGTTTCACCCCTATTGACATATTTGAGCAAGGTCACTAAAATTAGCAATTTGCAGAATATCTTTTATTTTTAAATTTCATTTGCTGTCAGAATATGTCCCAATAAAATTTTAATAACTGTTCTGCATGTTGTATTTATCAGCGATATACAGGGCCAGAAAATTTCTGTCCATTTGGTTAAGATCCAATCATGAAAAAATATATCCTATTCTGTTATGAATTGATCTTTAAAAGTCCTTTGTCGATTATTTTGTAAATTACAAAAGAACTAGAATTTTATTTTAAGATGTGAGAGAATAATGCAATAAAAAAATAGCACCAGGCAACTGAAGTTTTTTTTTGATTGAATTAGTGAATTTATATCTGAACAAATAATTTCTAAAAGGATGAGGCAAAATTGTACACTGGAGTGACAAGAGATGTGAGGAATCTACAGTTAACAACGTTAAAGGAAAGAACAGCTGAGAAGATTATTGTGAGAAAGGGAATAAAGAGAAACCACTGAGATATGACAGCTAAGGTTGACAGGTGAAAGCAGAAGAAAGGATCTTAAGAAGCTCAAAGCAGTGAATTGTAGTGCCTCACAGAAAAAGATGCTTTTGTGGTTTGTTCAAATTGGAATGATTCTTTTATCATTATATTATTGAACACGGAATTAGGGCTGCTATTTTTATTTTATTTTAATACATATTGGCACATACCGGTAAAGACAGAATTTTTAGAAAAACAATTATTTGGACTGTAAATTGATTTCAAACAATAGATATTGTTCCCATTTGCATGTCACATGCACATTTTATTGCACATGCGATATTCTTTCTTTGTATTTTAATGAAAAACAGTTTTTTTGCACTAACCATATAAAATGGTCCGAGCAAAGAAACACAATACTGGATTATATATGGCTGAAATATGCTGAAATTTGATTTTTTTTAAAAAAAATAGGGCAGGGTGAATTCCACATCAACCACTTACCGATCTGAGATAAATCAAATGGGAATGAACTGAGCAGAAGTTGGGTAAGAAACCATCAATTGAGACTTGTCCAGTCATTATCTGGCATCTCCTGGCAGTCAGATCCAGGCTATGAGCAGGAAATGTGACCTACCTCCAGGTTGCAAGGTGTAAAGCCAGGCAGATGAGATGAAGGCAATAACATGGAAAAAAAAACAAATGGAATAAACTTACTAAACATTCCACAAAGAAATAAGAAGAAAGGAGTTTATATCATACAATTGAAAGTAAAATACAACGTGTGATTCTAGGATTCACAGAAATCTGCAGAGGCCTGAGAGTCAGTCCATTTGCTAGTAAAATTTCTGCCCGCCCACCCCCACTCCCCTTCTGTTGATCCATTTATTATAAATGCCTTAAATTAATCAAAGCAAAAATTCAATATTTTCTTTCCCAACTGCAATAACCACATTTTAAAATGTAAACTGTAATTCTATTATATTTACACCAATTTATCAAAAACAAAATGTAGGAGCCATAATTACAATATATCTCATCTGAGATTTAATTGCACATGATTACTTTTGCAGAATAATCAAACTTATTGACTAGCTATTGTTCTTGTACATTAGAAGAATCTAGGATTAAATATTTTTTAATGTTTTCCTCTACTTTGTGATGTTTTTTTATCAAAGTAGCTATTTTGTTAAGTACAAAATTCTAACAACGCAGTGTTCAGATTCCTTAATGTCTACACACTTTCCATATTCTGTAGTTACATCTTCAATCGTTAAGTGTAGTCAAATGTTCACATGTAAATGTATAGGCCAATGTCCAAATGCATGAATCTCAGTCTCTTTAAAAAATTTACATCCTTGGAACAATCATGTGATTTCCCCAGACCATGCTGCATATAAAGCTTTGTTCTGGAGTTGAATCTCGGTTCTTCAGTAGAGGTAGCAGTGGAAGAGCCTGGGCAGATGCAATGAGCCAAATACATCAAAATGATAAGTTCTTAGTGTTGCAGGTCAGCCAAATAATTGAAGGACATGAGTTAGAGAATATTGTATGTTCAGTTGAATTGTATTCAAAGAATGAGAAAGTCCAACGATTCAGAAACTAATATGATTTCTCTTTGTTCAATCTTTGTTCAATCTTGAATTTGACCAAAATAGTACAACAGAGACAGGAACCTCTAATTTGGGACTGAAGTGTATTTTGTCTTGAATGGCTATATGAAAGCGTTTAGTTACTCATTATCACTTGCTTTCCAAAGATTTGAAAGAAATTCTTCTCAAGTTAGCCTATGAAACGGGCAAAGGATGAGCAAAATAATAGACGACACAAAAATATATTCTATTACCCAATCATCTAACATTTTAGCCAGACAGTCAATGTCCTTAATTCTACCCAGATGGAGAGGAAGAGCTGGACACAACAATGAAAATAACAACAACAAGATTCCATTTATAAAGCGCCTTTCACGTCAGGAGGACGTCCCAAGGCGCTGCACAGTTGGGTCAGGACCCGAGCAGGTCTTGTGGTAGACGCTGGTACCAAATCTACAAAACACAATCACTACACTTTATAGTAAATCCAGCTTTTATGTATATTTTTTGAGACGCTATACCAAATGCAAGGATTAATAAGAACAATTTATCAGCTCTGCATGGAAACGAAGAGTATTGAGATCAACTTCTCCACCCACTCTAGGGGAAATCTACATGGGTCTAACCTGACAAGTGGAGACTGATGGTAGGTCTATCAGCTGCAGGAGGATCTGCAAACAACACAATAATGCTCTTTGAAAGAAATATTGAGGCCAAAACCAAAACAACAAAGAGAAAAACAATACAAGAACTTTGTTTAAAATACTTTTAAAGACAAATGACAATGCAACTGTAAATGCAACTGTAAATTTCTTAAGGATTAACTGAGTAAACAGTAGGTTCAAAGAGCTTTTTCCTGATGTGAAACAATAGAAAGTTTTTTTTTCCAATACCAGAAAAATAACTGAAGTGGCAGAATAGGAGTTTATTTGCAGCATAAACTCAGGAAGGTCAAATGACTTGCATGACTAAAGAGTAATAGTTTCCTGTGATTACCCAAACTGCTAATATAGCAAATTGTTACAATATACACATATATTTATATATGAGAGCAGTTTTACTTCTTTGTAATCTATTCTAGATTGAATTCCTGCAAGAACATCACAAATGTAATGCTTCAATAATTGTTATAAATAATGAATATCATAAATAACTGTTATATTTTTTGCAAAAAAATGGATGGGTGGAAAAGATTGTAATGAAAATAATCAGAGTTCAACAAGCAATTAACTGCTCAACCTTTGCTCTCAGGGTTTATCCCTAGAGCATAGATGACAAGATAGCTTGCTTCAGTAGCACTCTGCTGTCTGTACCTCCAATGTGTTACCTCATAGAGCTTTTGGACTGAATCAGAGTTCAAACATTGACCCAATTTTAATGTAAGTATTTGACTTGGCTGCTCCAATTATGCAGCAAGCTAAACTATAATGTTTAGTTCCCTGACCAGCCTTTTGAATCTATTCCAAATAATCTTTGGCTCCACTTTGAACACAACTAGAAACTGTTCTAAACATAAACTGGCCAGAGCTGGAACCAGCCACAAGGATGAACGAGATACAGTAAAGCAACAGAAATTATTTAAACTCTAACAGATAACCAGCAAAATTAAAGTAAGAATAGAATATTTAAGTAAGAAGAAATATTACATTTATTCCAGCTTCCCACAAGACCCCTCTGAGTCCTTCATGGTGACTATTCAAGGCTTTCCTTCATAATTCCATGATCAAAGTTGTGACTCCATCAGCAGAGAATCTATTAGTCCCTCCATAAACCTTTTGCAACAAAGTGAAGCCCAGTTTGACGAGCCACCTTCCATTGCCACTAAGTCAGAAGAAATCATTTATTGGAAATTAGGGAAACGTAATGATTAGGAATTATCTGAAAATTATTAATAAGCTCATTGTAAATGTTAGAATTGGCAAGAAAATTGAGGAAGGGAATTCAGTAGCTTTCAGAACTGATTAATAAATAATTTGTTTGCTAACTGATTTGTATTCAATTTAAAGTGGCCAATTATGTCCATTTTGTCTAGTGTCTGGTGGCTACTGAAAAGACTGAAACATGTATAATACAGCATTTTATCAAAACTGTGTCAACAATAATCATCATAAAGAAACTCATAATAACCATATTCCACTCCACTAAAGTGTGGCATCATTCTTATTAGTTATTACATGTTACATTGATCACAGCAATCATGACTTGACGTGCAACCTCATAAAGGCTTGCTGTCATCTTGGATAAGTCATTTATAAATGTAATGTAACATTATGACTATTACATTTGATTGGTGTTAAAACACCTCAGGATTTTAATAAAGTTGCATTAAATGTACTGTTAAGATGTCATTATTATTTTCACTATACACTAGCTCAGAAACAATGTTTGAGGCTCCCCTAATGACTAAGTTGATAATGTCAATTCTCACCAAGCAACACAGCTCCTGGGAAGTCATAGGTTCTATTCTCAATCTGTGCTTTGTTAACTGAAGGGTGCAGAATTAGCTTCAGACTATGAAAGACAAATCAACTAGGGTTGTGGATCCTTATCTAGAGGATGTGGTCTCTGAGCATTCAACCCACTGCTGTATTCAAAATGAAATAGATTGTTTTATGGAAACTAAGGTAGGAGAAAAAGCTTGGAAGACAAAGCTTATTTATATGGTGATCTTTAAGTATGTTATTCCAATGATGAATGGACATTCATATAATAGGCAAAGTGATGAGTCTTGGAAGGTTGTTAAGGGTCAGCAAGAAAAAAGCCAATTATTGAAATAGAGGCATAATAATGTATTATTAAGAGAACAAACACGTCAGATAGATTTAAAGCATTCGAGGATGTTAAGAGAGAAGTTAAGGTTGATATTCAGGGATTCAGAATAAAGAGACAAAAGGTTTACACAGAGACTATATAAGTACATGGCAATATAGAAACAAGAAATGCAACAGAGTCCATCCTGCTCACCTCCTGAACCAGATTCTGTTTCAGAATCTGATCGTTTTTGCGTTTTTTTTCTTGTCCTAATTAATATTGTTCTAATCCCTGCTGCATCAAGAATTGATCCAGTTCTCTTTAGAATTGATTCACTACCAATTGCACAAGAGAGCAGTCTAGTCCACAAGTCAACAGAAATATGAAGAAATCGTTCCTGAAGTTTAGTTCGCTGCTGCTTTAACACATGAATGTAACAATGAAAAAAGGGAATACAGCTCATTTAATCACTCAAAATATGATCCAACCATTTTTCTACAGTACTTATAATAGCTGTCAACTGACTCTCATTCACTGTTTCTCTTTACAAAATACCTCAACATCACTTCATTGATTCTGTTCATTATTTTTCAAAGTTGGATTATGTCTCTCCTTAACCTTTATTCCAGCAAGGATAGATTTACCTTCCTCAGCTTCTCTCTCAGATAACAAGGTTTTAAGCAAAGTAGTATCAAGAATGTCTACTGCAAAATAAGCAATCGTTCAATTAGATGCACTCGTGGAGAAGTGTGTTGAGTGGATCAGGTAAATGATTCAGTTTGATATTTACCAAATGCTGAAGTGAATATGACAGACTGTTATCATAAAAGGTGCTGTAAAGGAGACTGATAGTTATTATGGTAAATGGCAGAGACAGTATGCAACTGTAGGTTTTAAAACAATAAGAACATTGTTATGTAGTTGCAGGACTGAAGTGTACTTGATATAAATTAGTGATATCATTACTTTAATGTTGCAATGCCACAGAGAAGAATAATTAAATAAAGAAGGAATGGGAAGAAAGGAATGGGGTAGACTGAAACTGTAATTTGTTTTAGAGATGCCACGTATGACTTAATAGGGATGGACTTATGTGAAAAACATGAGGCTAAAATACTAGAAAATTAGAGCAGCACTTGTTTGATGTAATTGCAAAATGTTTAAATAAGAAATTGAGGAGAAAAAATCATTAGATGAAGAATGATGAGAAATAAAAATAAATATAAAAATAAATAATTTATGAACCAGTTGCATATTGAGAACATTTTTTTTGGGGGGGGTCAGACAAATGTCT